AGTCAGTTAGTTGTTCAAGAAGGCAACATACCTCGCTCTTAGACCAAGTAAGACCTCGGTTCGTTTCATCTCCTCTGCCTGGCTGCAAAGCACACATGGCTGCGGGAACACCTGGAAATTGGGTCGAATTTAGGTTTGATCAAGTTTACACCATAAACAAATCGCTCCAGTGTTCGTTTAAGACCGGACCAAAACCACCTACTCTCAATGGTCTCGAGACGGTAGTTTTGGTTCGCCCCCAAGTGCGACTATTCTGTTCACACCTGCCCAAACGAATCGCGCCAAGGGGGAAATCAAACCAAAATCCATTTTAACCGGACTAAAAAGTGCTGGTGTGAAAACACCATAAAAACCTTCGCACCCAGCACTCACAAGCACTGCAAAGTCATGGCACGCCACCACAGCAGAATTGCACGGGGGCCTTCCACTCCACTCAGTACCTACCTGCAGGGCTTCCCAGACTCAGGCTTTTGTTTTTGTGAGACTCACAATATCGTTTGCCCGACATCCCAGGAAAATCAAGTGTACCTGTTGGGCTACCAAAATGTAGCACACTGATCCACGGACTATCAGAAATTATCCCCTAAGTAAAATTAAATTCCCTACTTTGGTTACCCTTTCCACTTCATTGACTAGCTATTTGGAGGAATATTGACCACTGAGTTGTTGATCATGAGGATGGTTCAATTTATTGCACAGTGACTTTCCGCCACCATCTTGGTTCATTGTAGTAGAGTACCCCGAACATATTAATGCAAGCAAGTGAAGTATGGCTTTGTTATCACACCAATCATATTCATTACACTGCATATGGTAATGTGAAATACCATTATATAAATGTTATATAAAAGCAAACGATGAAAAGAGAAAATGGATGGGGCTCATACGCAGTCAAAGCAAAATGGTTGTGAGCTACCCACTCTCTGATATTCGGATATCTTGAATTGTATGTTTTTTTGAATGTAGTGGGTAACTACTAAAAGTCTGCCGATTTAATTTCTTTATTTCGGTCCGTGTACAAAATCTTCAGACGAAAATGTATTGAAATTATTTCAGTGTATTCAGCAAGTACAAGTATAAATATCACGCTGATCATTCTTCATTTATTATCATCAGAGATGGGAATTTCAGGTCCAGAAAATAAAAATCCACACCAAGCTTTTGATTCAACCAACCGGTTCAGCTTAAAGGCTCACAGTCACAGAGTACTCAGCTGGTTGGTAGCAACAAAATCTTGGTTTGGTTTGTTACTTTCTGAACCTGAAATTTCCTCTTACCTCTGATCATCATATATTGTTTATCATTATATTATGTGTCATGTAATGGTACCAGCAGCAGTGGGCAGTACCACTGCCTTACAATTCTGGAAGCAGCATTTGAGTCAGGGTCCTGCAACCCTGAATAGGATAAGCGGTTACAGATAATGGATGGATCTGTTATTGTTATTATTACTATTGCCTTGCATCCGTAGGCTCCAGGATAGACTGTGGACCTCCTGTGACCCTGAATAGGACAAGCGATTACAGGAAATGGATGGATGGATGGTAAAACTAAGCAATTATGTTACTCTGTGCTATAATGTCAACATTACAGTGCTGTGCCTGTTGTTATTGCAACAAATTGGGTTTGATAGCACATAAGTGAATGTGTTTTAAAGGCAAATTGTTGATCGATTTATTTTGTCCTTGTATGTGCAGCTAAAGGGACTGAAGAAGGTCCGAAGAGTTGCTTTGTTGTGCTTTCCACTCTTGATGCTGACAGACTGCTGTGTCCCAAGTTCAGTTAATGTTGCCTCTGTCATACATAGTGACTGGTTTGCCAAACTTGAAATGATAAGAACGGTCTTTAGAATATGTTTCCATATATTTAATTTAAAAAAAAAAAAAACTATTTATGAAGTATATGTACACATATTAATATTGCTTTTTTAATTTTGGGAGCTCAAAATTCATTTCGGGCTACCAAAATCTGAAGAATGCTTGCCCTAAGGGCTACCAAGGATTTAGAAATTTTGTGAGCCCTGTTGTTAAAGTTTAGAAATAGCAGTTCATTTAAAAAAAAAAAAAGTACAAAAGCAAGAAACAGATTTACAGAGACCATTATATGAACAAAAGTATTGAGACACCTGGCCATATCACCCATTATAACCATTGCAGGTGCAAGGCAGGGAACAACCCAGTATGGGGTGACAACCAATTGCAGGGCACACTCACAGATTAAAGCACACACACACAAGTCTATTATGAGTCCATTTAGGGCATTTATGATTTACGGCTGTTGAAGAAGTTTTCTGACATGTGACTGTCACATTCTTTGGGCATTACCGTATGCGTAATGTAATCTAATATTAAAGGTTATTTAGTTATCTGCTAAACCACATTCAGTCTCTGTGGCAATGATCACGCTAAGAAATTATTCTGGCTGAGGGGAGCACCCTGAAAGACGGAAGGATCTTGTTTTCAGACATACCTGTAGCGGTGATGAAGTGCCCGCCCATAACCAGGACCAGAACCATTTTATTTTTATTGCGACCATGTTGACCTGATGACCAGGGATGCACTCAGATGACCTGGCCGTCTTCTAATCTCCATCCTGATCCTCAAGTTGAATTGCCCTGCTTCTAGGACTCGGAACACGGAACTGTGATATCCCACCCGAACCCAAACCTGCTGCCTCAGAGTGCAGCCTGTTGAGTTCTCATTACGGTACTAATGTTGCAAAACTTATTTTACATTTGACAGTTAACACTGTAACAGGTGTAAATCTCAAAAATTATTATTCTATTTAAAGGTACGGAAAGCTGTAAATGTTGTAAATATTGCACATTACTACAGCAATAACAGTACACTCGTTTGTCGCGTAGCTTTACTCTTTTGTATCTATTTTTGTATTTTCAAATTACTTGTATTTTAATGAAATACATTTCTCACACGCCTATTTTGTAATTTAGTTTGTTACAAATTACAAATACTTGCTCATCAAATGTAACAAGATACATTTTGATGTATTTGTGCACATCTGTGGTAGAACTATGGCAGCTATGCAGACAATAAAACAATAACAATATTAATAATCAATTCTAATGAAACACAAAAATGATTTTTAAAAATAAACGTGCATTCTCCCATCACTCAGTTTGGTACTATGCCGCACAGCTGTGCTCAGGCCTCAGGCAGATTGAGCCATTTTTCTCCCCTCTGGGAAGTTTCCCACGCTCTGCTGAATGGACGGCAGAAGATGCAAACTGATAGAACAAAGTACGCATGTGGAGAGAGAACCACCTCTGGGAACACTGCTGAAGTGGTGTCGCGACTGCTGGCTGTAACCGCCCACCTGGGCCACTGGTTACCACTGGTTACAGTATAACAGGCCGTTTATGGGCCCACAGTCACAGCGGCTACGGAAGTTTGCATAAGCCTTAGGCCACAATGGGCAGTTTTGCTCACTGTCCTTTTGAAGGTGAGTGAATAGGCACTTTCACCGTCTGAACTTTTTTTTTTTTTTCTGGAAGCAGAACATTTTTCCGAAACCAGGGACTTCTGTCACATTCATACTGCAGGAACTCGGCCCGATTGTAGTTCCTTGGGAACAGTTCCGGAACACTTTCAGTACCTAGCCCAGACTCAGTACTTGTCGTTTGAACATGAACTACAGAGGAGGCGCTTACAACCATAGGTTGCTGATTGGTTGGCATTGACAGTGATAGTTTACTGATTAGTTGGTCATTACTGCAATATCCTGATAATTTCATTAGTTGACACGTACAGCGGTATCTTGCTGATTGGTTGGCGCTTACAGCCTTAGCCTGCCAATTGGTTGACCACTACCACTAACTTGCAGGAAAAGACATAGAAGTAGAGCAACATGGAATTATTTTTGTACCTCATTTACATTTATTGCATTAATGATTTTTTTTTGCCTCTCCATATTTCTGCATCAGAAAATTTGATTGCTAACCAATATATTTTTTATCTAATATTACCAGTGCAGGCGGTGAAATTTGCCAGTGCTTATTATCGGAATAATGTACCGTTTTTTTATTCTGTGGAAAACGAAAGCTCAATCTGCTGGAGAGATTTAATAAGAATCATGAACACATCTTGGGACATATAAGTAAAATATAGATCAGGGGGTCACCAACATGCCCCCAAGGACCACGAGTCGCCCACGGACCTGTTCTAAAAAGAGCACAACTCACCAATGAGCAGCGTCTAACATGTAACTTTATCCTGTTGCTATTCTTCTTTAATCACATTTGCTTTTATATAGATTTGAAAATCACAATATCTAAAAAAAAATCATTTAAAACATGTTTAGTATACATGAAGTTTAGATAAGTTTAGGGGGGCGTTTCAAACTGGCAGCCCTTCGTATGGCTCAGTACCCATGAAGTAGCTCTCAGTTTCAAAGAGGTTGGTGAGCCCTGATATAGATAAAAGGCGTTGTCCCGTTTTAATCGTGATTGATCCCCCAAATGACTGACAAATAAACAGGCATTCTCCGTTGGTTTGGCGTGGCCCAGAAAAGTGCTCCAGGGGCTGGATAAGTGTGACCCTGCATCCAGACCCCAGGTTCACACTCAGCCGTGTGAGTGCATGTGCGCCGCAAAGATGAGCGAGCGAGGATATGCAAAAAGATGCATTCTTGTGCGCGTGTACTTATACTTGTACAAATGGCACATAAAGTGAATCTAATTTCATTAACAAGACATTTTCACCCAGAGACCTGCTGCTGACTGAATGTGTTTCGTTCATTAGTGTGTGAAAATCCCAGGAATTCCGTTTCAATGCTGCAGCCGCCAACTCTGACACCACGTTCACTACCACACATCTTACCCACTCTAATGCTTAGGCTCACAGTACCTGTAGCGCCCACCTGGCTGCCATATATTTTCTGCAGCCACGTGATTGGCTGCGTGGAGGAGCAGCTCTTTGGGTTAGCCAGCAGGTGGCACTAATAACGTGGCCACTGAATGTGTGAGAACACACCATGTCCAGCCATTCCACACAAAATTTCTATTTACTAATATTCATTTGCACTCTAAAGACAACATATAACCTGCACATTAACCCTGCATTGTATTTCTGCAGTTTACAATTGATTCTTTGACTTTAAATTTGTACATACTGTACATTATAATTCATACCCATCACCATGTACACTTTCAAAGAACCTTCAAAATAATAAAATATGGGTCAAAACCAACCCAGGTTTTAAATACACCTTCCAACATATGATCCACATCACTTCATCTAACTGCTTGAGGTTTCCATTTAGAACTATGCTTCCATTTTTATATATAAATTGCATGCAGGCAGTTTTACAAACAAATTGATTATTTTCTTGGTAGCTAGAACCAGACGGGCTCACACACTGACTGATACACTGAGGGTTACCTGAAACACATAGTAATGAACAAACTAAAACTCAGTTCACACATTGCACCAGATGATTTTCCTTTGATACTATGTGACCTTCCTTGTCCAGAAAGACATCTAGTTAGCATGTTCAGGAGAAATACACAATCAAACTGTTTATTTCTGCACCCTCAGGAAGTCCTAGTGAACAAAATAATAGGCAAACAAGCCTAAAGCCAACGTGGACCGAGATCTGCAGCGCCGACAAATGCAGAGAACGGGATGAGCTGTGCGGCCGGGAACAGGCAGATGATCACCTGATATGTTAACGCATCCGGTCTGAGGAACTGCTTCTACGACAAACTCCACAGTGATCGAACTAAAAGTGATTTATTATTCATTTGGTATTAAAGTAAAAATACAGTTATTCATACAAAGACTCAAATAGATGACTAAAAGATATTAGGTACCATGAATTAATGAAGCCTGAATCACAAGAGGTATTGAGAAGTATCCCCCACCCAAGGTAATGACATTCAGTGGTTGAAGACTACATTGTGTGACAAAGGACAACACCTAACATGCAGGACACACAAAGCAAAGCCTGGCTCATTGGGCTATCTGACCCACTCAAGGTCACGTTACATCAAGACCCGCAAACTGAGAAGCAAGCTTGACAAGAACCACTAAAGTGAAATTCCATCACTGGAAAAGATGCTACAAAATGCCACTTGCACCCTTGTCTCCTTTGGGGGGGGGGATCTGCAGACAGTCCACGTTTTGACATTGATCCTGTTGTGTTTCCATCAAGCGTTAGAGATTACACCACCACGGGGCGTTCTATTGCACTGACACAATGGTAAAGGTAGCAAAACAGAGAAAATGAGAACCTCAGAGACCAAGCAGCAGACAGCAAGCTGACACAACACAGATCGGAACCAGCGACCTACTGATCATGGGCAGAGTGTCCTAACACAACGAGTCATCACTGCCAAGATCCTCAAATGACTAGCAATATCATTCACAACGTTCTCCCACATTCCTGCTGTTCTCTTGAAGGATGTGTTACCTTAAGCAAAAAAACTTAGTGTAGTGGAAAATATCAAGGATCTTTTACTCATTAAAAGAAGAAAGTTGGTTGAGATACAAATGGAACGAATGGTTCCACACCCCACAAAAAAACCTTGAACATGCAAAGGTGATAAAACACGTAGGAAACCGTGCACTTTTTGTGAGGCACCCCAGAGAGTAAATAACTCCATGTGGAAGGAATGAAGGCACTTGGTTTAGGATGTGGACAGAAAGATGTGGTGGTGGGGGGGGGGTTCTTTATGAGCGAAAGAGTCTGTGCCAGAAGGCCTGGAACCCGGCAGAGCTGAAGGCACCGATGAACACGAGCAGGAGAAGATAGAGGCTCATGGTGATGGCGAAGTGATGTCGGGCCAGCCAGGAGGATCCGTGGGGACGCCTGGAGGCACACGGAGAACAGGAGCACCACACGGCTGTCATACCCGCAGCTGGGCCATGTGTCACATCGGGATTTCCCGAACGTAAGCCTTCAGAGCGGCCGCATTACGGCGGATGGCGAGTGGCCCTCACCTGTTACTCCGTCGCTTCTGAGAATATACCAGGAGGTACTTCACTCTCAGCAACTGATTGTTTGTGACCACAAAGTACTTCTGAGGAACCTCTCCACCCTCGCTGTTCTTCACCCTCGCTCGTCTGCGGTCCATGCCCTCGGAGTCTGTATGGACATTCCAGTTAGCATCCGCTCAGCAGGATGTCACTGAGTGTGACCTCTCGTCACGAGTGAAGCCCCACCTTTCTTCTTTACTTGGCATTTAACGTCAGGGTGATCTATGATCTCACACACCGCGATGCAGCTCAGCAGTGGCCCCAGAAGGCTTTCCCTCCACCCGTTGCCATGGGGACTGTAGAGCACAGCAAGGCTGAGGTCACTGGTGAGGTAAGTACCTTCGCCAAACAGTGAGGTCTGTAAAGTAAGATGTCAAGAGTCACATGCCAGCCAAGGTCCTTGCCAGGTCTGATTGTTCTGCTGCTAAACCCAGCTTCCGCTAGCTCTTCTCCTTACTTATCAGACAACTTCCAGTTTCAGTACCAAAATTAACACAAGGGTTTGATAAACTGATATTTCTGAAATTAAGTTTTGGTTTGTTTTTATTTAACTGTACACTACAAGCCAGGGGTTGTTGATCCTGCTCTGGGAGGGCCCACATCCAGAGGATATTTTGCTGCTATTGCAAATGGTTTCAGAACAATGAGACATACGACAATTAAGTCTTATTGCTCCCATTTACTTGATAAATGAATGTATTTAATTTAAATGCAGAAATTATATTTTCTGCTCAGATTGCCAAAATACACTAAAATAAAGAATAACAACTGCTGGCTGTTCCTACTATTAAAAAAACAATGGCTTCTTAAACTAGAGACTTGGGGGCTCTTCCAGGACCAGGGCTGGTGATCGCCTGTACATTTTAATGTTTAGAAGAAACGGTCCCGTGAGTGCTTAGAAGGTTTAAAGAGACAACAAGCCTTGTTGAGATGACAGTGTAAACCGTTGTGAATGATGGAGTGGAAGTTCTCCAGTCGGCTGCCGTGGAATGCGTAGAGGATGTCCCGTCCATCCCTGGTCTTCTCGAACATAGCGTTCATCTGGTTGCAGTATTCCAGTTCAAACAGGAAGTCTGGGGAAGGCATGGAAGTGCCCTCACACCCAGTCAACTCCAAAATTCTTGAATACTGGCAAAATTGGATAATTAAGGTTGGCATAAGAAAAAAAGGGAGGACAATGGTGTACATTCAACACAACTACACATCACACAACCTCCGCATGAAAGGTTCCAAACAACAATCAGCTGACAGTAGTGGCTGCCATGTCTGTTCACCTCATCCCTCTGCAGTGTCCTCACAGCAAAGTTCCTGGAGGAAAGGACCCAGTGAGCCAGGGCCAAGTGATGCTCTCCTTCTCCGGGACCCAACCTGACCAGCTCACGCACTCCTGGCATGGAGCTCACGTCCGCCAGCTGTGGGCAAGGAGACCCAGATCATCACCTGCATGGATTCAGCTCCAAGGCAACAGGAAGGGTTCCGGCTGAGTTCACCTTCATCATTAATTTCAACATGTTGGTATTTTACTGAACTCAAATTAAGCAGCTTGGCTCAAGGCAGATCTCCTGTTACCAACAGCCCCTCAGCATCCACACACTCACACATTGGTCCTGCACAAAACTACCCACTTCCTGGATACATTGCAGTTCTCCTTAAATAACGTATTTTGAACTAAAATAAGCAACGAAATATTAACCTCAGGTTGTGTTTCTAAAGATTAAATTGTGTTCAGTTATTAACAAATATACTACCTGCTATTGTACCACAATGAATTAAATCGATTTAGAAACGTGATGTGGCCTGAATCCCTCTCGGGCCATGATCACAAACTCACCAGAGCTTCAAACTCCTTGTTGTCCTCACTGGCATACCGTCGGGGGAAGGGTCGCAGGACAGAGTCGCGCTTGTACGTCAGGGCGGCGGCCACGAAGAGGCTACAGCGCAGATCGGCCGCCACGGGGTCCCTGTGCAGGCAGGAGCGCACAAGCTCTCTGACCGTGGCCGGTGGGAGTGGCGGCTGCATTCCCGGCACTGGGCAGGGAGGCAGGCAGAGAAGACAGCTAAGTGAGATCGCCGTCCAGTGCATTACCGTCCGGGCCTCGGAGCAGCAGTGAAACCCTCGGAATGAATCTGAAAATTCACGACACCTAAACATGACAAGTCTGCAGCTATCACCATACGTAGGCTCGCACACTTCGGCATGAACCTGTGACACACTTAAACAAGAAGAAGGTGTTTCTCCACTCCGATCTATAATTAACCTGCAACCACCTGCTTTCAAGCTACGACCAGCATATTACAGTCATTTTACAGCTAAAATCTAAAATCCAGACCAAAGTACCCAGGACGTTCATCACAAGACTATCTCAATTACAACTGAATATTTTACAGTCTTTGATTATTTATCCGATCTCACATACCACACAAACACCACCATATATGTTAGCGCCGTCTTTAGCGTTGTACTGTCAGCTTATCAAGCTGCACCAGAAACTATTAGCTACATTTTTTTACGTCCCAAACTATGGCTGTTTACGCCGGCTCTCTACACTTTCCACAAGCAGCTAAAAATACGCCCATGATTTTATTTCCATTTCCCAGCAGGCGAAGCAAACAGGTTATCCGACTAGCAGTAAGCAGAGCTCCCCTTTCCGCACCGTAAGCCCGTCCGATAGCTTACAGGAAATCCGATTTAGCCAGAAGCTAAACTGAAGGCAAGTATGTCATACTATAAAACTAAAATACCGGCGATCATAATACTAAGATAACTGTAACTCCACGCCGAGCTCTGATGTAACTTTTCGTATTCTTTAATTGTTTATTTTTACCAATTCCTCTCTCTCCGGGTACCCTTTAACTCACCTGTACTTTAAACGCACCAGACATCGATGTATGGAGGATCAAGCTAAGCCCCCAGAAAGAGCTGTCCATCGATGTGCCTGAGCGGGCGCTACTCCCTTGCAAAGTTGCCATGTTTCATCCAGTCCTAACATTAAATCTCATGCTAACTGACATGTACTTTGCATAACTCACTTGTTCTTAACATGCACCAGGCATCGACGTATCATGCTAAGCCCCAAAAAGGACTGTCCGCCGCGGTGCCTGAGCAGACGTCATTAGGTCAATCACCTACAATGTCTTTTTTTTTCATTTATTTATTTTGCATCCCCCCAAATTGTCTAACAAAATTTAATTTCACGGCAATATAAGTATTCCAACCCTCTTCGAAGTCCCGTTTTTTTAAACAACAAAAACTACACTGATGAGGCAAAATTCACCCATGTTAATCGAATTATGTCGACTGTAGTAAAAAAAAAAAAAAAAGCCAAGTCTAGGATATCTTATGAGATAGTACGCTAATATTAAGTATCCGTAGTCGACATGTTAAATGCATAATAGGTAATAGGCCGGGGCAAATGACCCTGCTGACAGGGTGTCGTGCGGCCACGAGTCACCAATGCGGACTGTGAACAAACCAACAAGGGCCTACTGTTACACAAACTCTAGATAATTTTAATGCTGGTTACCGGGGTAATATGTCACAACACACAGCGCACAGAGCCCTGCGCCGTATGGGGCAGCAATGTTATGCTGGGAATCTCAGAAGCCAAGAGGAGCTGCACTCTGTTCAGCGCTGCAGAATACAGTGAAAAACAACAGTCTTATAATGATTTTTCACTGTTGACAAAAATATTTAGTGATTTCTGTTTTGTGTTTTTATGAGCGTCACGCCACGTTTTACTACGTTTTGGAACATCTGACAAGACACCCGTTATGGAGAAATACGATACGAATATGCGCTATGATAAATATACAGTTAAGCATTACATGATTCGACTCATAAATGACAGGAATTCAATATGTTTTGCAATGTCCTGCTCATTAAGTAAAACATGCTCAAAATGTTTTTCTTAAAAACAAGCCACTGTGTTCATTCGCTGTATTCTGCGAAAACCATCTGAGACTCAAGGTAACTGAAGCTGATTATAAGATTTTAACATGAAACATATTCCGACATTATTTGTGAGTCGGTGTTCGACACTGCGATTCTCAGTTGAGTGGACGCCTCTGGTCCCCGAAAGGCACATTTTTCCGTTCAGCCTGAAAAAACAGGACCCTATATTATACAGGAGAATATTATGCTACCCGACCGTTAGGAGTCGCTGTGTATTCAGAATGCAGGGAGCCTTCTCTGCATGATGTCAAAGTCAAGCAAATAGAAGAATATAACCTCTACTTTCGTTAATTAATGACAGGGAATAATTCATGAAATGGCTAATGGCTAAGTTCCTACGACTCAGACATTAGTATGTATAGCAGAAGAAGATCTATGATAAGGCCAACTTCATCCAAAAATTATATAGCGTAGCTGTTTTAAAAATTGATATTACTTTTATTATTATTACCCATCCTGTAACCATGACCAGGAATAAGCTTTTAGATGATGAATGAATGTATGATGGATTCCTTACACATTTTAAATGGCGTTATTGTATGATAAGATGCACATTTTGTTTCATATCAAATAAATATTATCTATGATCAATTATTCATTATTTCGTTTTTCAATGACAGAATACTTGTCATACTGGAAAGTATGGATTCTTAATTTATATTAAAACTTGTGTTAAGACTTGAGATATAGATGCACTTGAGATACACATGAGACATAGCAGACCACGAGAAGCAACAGACCACGAGAAGCAGCAGACCACGAGACACAGCAGACCGCAAGCAGCAGCAGACCACGAGACGCAGCAGACCGCAAGCAGCAGCAGACCACGAGACGCAGCAGGCTCATGGCTACACACACAGCAACTGGATGGCACAAAATGCCACAGAAAATGCAATAATCTCTGTGTAATGACTATAGTGTCAAACAGCGTTCAGCAATAATGTATCTTCTGTTTACTACACATGAGCTGGAAGTGTCGTTTTACTGTAAGCTTATTCTGTTACTGACTACTGGATCAGAAATTTATTTAGAAAAAAACTTATGTCTGGTTTATCTGTGATCTGAGTAGGTGCATAAAAGTAATATAGATACAGTAATATATATGTGTGTTTATATATATATATATATATATATATATATATATATATATATATATATATATATATAATATAACTTTTTTTCTGATTTTACATTAGTAATAGTGGTGTGTCTCTGTAAACCAGTCCACACCAGTCCCAACACTCCAGACCCACATGTTCCCCACTTTAAATGGTTCATTCTCAATTGGCCTAATTACCCAATTAAAGCTAATTTAACATTTTGAGGCCTTGCTTTTGTTTTACCCCGTGGACTAACAATGTGCCATCTGTCTAATGGCAGTGAAGCACAGGGAGAGGAGCGAGAGGACGGAGCCGACGGTGTGTGCAGCTGGCGGTGAACGGGTCACATCGGGCTCCTCGCTGGAGTTTGTGAGAGGGGCCCGGGACTGCCAAAGAGATTGATGGCACTTTCGGGGTTTTGCTGAGGGTGCTCGTGTGAGCGCGTTGACCGAGTGGCATGGTTTGTATGTGGACGTGCAAGTGTGAGAGGGAGTATCAGGGATGCTCCCAATGTTTTGGCAGTTTGCACACAGTTAATTGAGTAGACTAGCATTGTCTGGTACTGAATTCTTCGGGAGATGCGTAAAAGAAAAGAAGAGAATGTTGCCGCCTATGTGAGTGTGCTGTAGAACTGAAATAAAGGTTAAGATGGTAGCAGACTGCAGGGAATGGAAAGCTGATATTTAGAGTGAATGATAAAACAAAGGATTGTTGGTTTAAAGCCTGGTGCGTGGGATCTCGTTCCCTCAAGGGTTCTTCAGAATTTGCTACAGGCAAATAAAATGGACTGCTATTCATGGGGGGGTCCTTTCCAAATCAGTGTATTTTCTGTGGCAGCCACGCTGAAAGAAAGCTTGCACAGCACTGTGTTTTTGCCCTCAGGGGTTCCAGTCACACTGACCATATCTATGCTGGACAAAAAAAAAAACAGATAAAATGTCAAAATAAATTCTATCACAGTCCACACTGGATGGCTTTGCTTGCCGAGTTTGATAAATTGTCTCTCATGCTGCATTATTTATTAATTCTTTGATTTCTTCTCCACAGGCAGCACCTGTTTCTAAAGGGGATCAGCGGGAGCTTGCAGCGACTGGAACACTGAAGGAAAAGAGTCTTTTGTTACTCTGAAAGCTCAGCTTCCACTCTGGCAAATGGCAACACACTGATATAGAATGAAAGGAGGCCGTGCAAGCTCTCTCTCTCTCTCACACACACACAAACACTTTTATTCTGACCTTGCGGTTCTCTGATCCTTACTGCGCCCTTGCCGTGTAGCAGGGCACATTCAAAGCCGGCTCTGGCTTAGTGTACTGCTCCTCACACACACACACACACACACACACACACACAATGTCAGGCCCGCAATGGCCCAGCCAGACCTTTCTTTTCCAGATCATTTTCATAACACTCAAACAGCAGCAGGTACAATATGTTCTTTATGCTTCTCAGCAGGTGCGAGCCGTCGGAGAGGAACTCTGTGAAGAAGCCTCAGCACAGCAGGAGTGACTAGCAGGGATGGGACTGGGCTCCTCACATCTATCTCATGCCCGCCGCTTACTCTCCTGTGGTCCCTTGACCTCATCTGGCACGATGAGAGCCCTGCTACTTAGCGCAAGCCTGCGGGGGGGGGGGGAATACGCCTTGTTCCCTGTCAGCCGCTTTCTCTTCGCGATGGAGAGGGGGGGCCTGTGTGATCGCTGTTTGGGCAGTCATGGGAGAATCCTCGAGGTTCCACCTGTCGTGGTGTCGGAGTGCTGAGCCCGCAGAGGGATGGCTCGGGGACGTACACCACGCGATGTGCTGGATTTTTGGCCATTGTTATTGCCTTGTCATGGACAAGGGGGGGAGGTGACCCATCTGTCACTGCGACCCTCCCCGCTGGAGTCCCACAGAAGGGGTCAAGGTGCCCTGAGCCATGGGCTGGGAGACAGGCTGCCTCTGAGACGAGCGTCGCGTTGGGAATGGTGCTCACAGCTACCCATGCTCCCCTCCTGGCTTTTAAATAGCCGTGACACACTGTGAGCGGTGACCGCTGGCCGCCGTGGCGTGAGGCGGCGCGGCTCCGTGCTTCACCCCACAAAAGGCAGCTGCTCCTTCTCGCTTTAATCCCGTCCCAAACTCACTTCATCTGTTATTTTCCATGTTTATTTGCCCTTTATTTTGCTCTTGATAATGCACATCAAAAGCAAAAGTACCATGAAACCAGTACAGCGGGGCAACCCGACGCCCACTGCCCCCGACGCCCACTGCCCCCGACGCCCACTGCCCGAGGCCTTTCACCTTTGCCGGCGCCTGGCCGCTTTACCAAATGGAGCACACGCATCAGCTCCATTGGCCAGAAACATTTAAACGCACACAAAGATGGGGGCCGTTTTGAAAGGTAGGGGGTAGGGTCGCAGAGAGCTGCATTTTCTCTTCACAACAGATTTCCCACCCCTGCGGCTGATATCCATCAGGGATACTGTGGGTCAGAGAGATTAAAGCAACAGCAGAGGAGAGAGAGTCCCTGCCACCTGGCTCTCTACACTCCAAGCTGCGTCCACACAGAGGCTTGCCTTTCTCTCTCTCTCTCTCTCTCCACTCCTCCCCTTTCCTTGACATTCGCGAAGCCCAGAGGAGACAGGAATCAGGGGGAATGCCAGGTGAGACCGGAAACGGACTGCAGGGAAAGACCTGAGCAGAGATTTCGAGGTTGCAGTGTGACGCCCAAATAAATATTAAAAGTAGACACTGTAAAAGGCCTACCATTA